TTTTTTTTTTTTTTTTTTTGTTTTTTTTTGTATATATGGTTTCTCTGCGATGCTCTTTGAATTATATTCTATTTCATGACGCAGCAGTTTCAAATACCATTACGAACATTCACAGCTTCAGCGTAGGGAATATTCATCAACCTATTGATCGAATACTGTTGGATAAGAGGCCCGTTATTCAGAACGATTTTTATTTCATTGTAGCCGAAAGTCATATTTGGATTCCTACATTGATTGCCTTTTCTGTTTATCAAAGAGCACACATAAATCACCAGCTCGACTTTTACCGGTGCTTTACAGCCGTAGCATTGAACACAATCTATTGTAACTCGCGATACTAACGACAGTACCCACGCTCGCTGGACCTGTCGAGTGGGAGCATAACAGTGCTTCTCCGAGGGTCGACGGGGAGCCCACGAGAAGCGAGTTGCGCAAGAGGCTCGATCATCCGCTTGTGTCACCGCTTCGCTTACATAAGGCAGCGCCCACCCCGCGTCGGAGGGGCTGCTCTCATGGAAGCCTCGAGGAGCTGCGAAGAAGCACGTGAAAGAAAAGGCTTCCGCGGCCGGCATCAGCATCTACTTGGCGATGCCGCGTGAAAACCAGGAAGAGCTGCGAGATAGCACATCTGCAGGAAGCGTAGGCTTTCGCAGCCGGAGTCAGTGGCTACTTTGCTGTCCGAGAGACGCCGCGTCCTAGGCACAGGTGCAAAGGTTTCGACCGTCATGCTGCGAACTTCCCAATGCCCAGAACATTTCGCCCTGAGGAAGATTGCAGCCGAAACATTGGCATCTTGGCTTAGCAGCGGCGTCTTCCAAGGAGATACCTCTATTGTTTTTTCGCGTTTAACTGTATGTGCCGTGTGTTAACGATGTATGGCATAGTAGGCAGTACCAGGCTAGCGCCAATTTTATTTACGGGGCGCGAAGATTTAATTGCAATTTACATTTTTACACTGAGTTTGTTGTACTTACAAACAATTTCAATACTTCCAATGTCGGTTTCCCTAGGTTTCAACGATTGTCAGCTTCTTAATCGACAAAATGTCTCAAAGGGTAATTAAAGGTATCTTTCTCTTCAGTTATAGAACCCGGCAACTATAAATACAGTAAGTATGGACCTCAGAACTACGCCGAAATTAAAGTAAAAATATATATTTATTTTTATCAATGAAGTAAAGCGCGTCGAGATTCTAATATTGTAGATACATTTCAATTATGAAATTTATTATCTTTGGAGATTAATAATTGACTATGATCCCATGGAGCAGGTGTCAGAACCATTTTATTTCCTGAAGACCAGCTTAGCGTGGAAGACTAGGAATGTTACAGAATGACACCTTACTCTGCAAAATTTATTACAGCAGTATTAGTTAAGAATTACGATGCAGAAATCTGAAATAATGGATTCTATGTGTAAGCATCATAAGAGATTTAAAATGCAATTCAAGAACAAGTATCAGAATTTAAGTACTTTGGGCAGAGCACCTTCTACTTTTGTAATTTGATGAATTCCCCAAAAAACTCAAATATTTTCTGAAATGTGTTGAATGATTCAAAGACAACTTACGTACAAGGTAAAGAAGGACACAAAAATGACATTTTTACTACATTATGGCTAACGAACATGAATGAGGTTGAGAAAAATTGAGTATGATCCGCTTGGATAGAAGGAGGATTGAGAATAGTAAAATGAAATTCCTGAAAACTGATGGAAGAAATACGCTCCTTAACCACAGAAAAAGCGAGAACATCAGAAACCAATTGAAAGTCTTCAAGTTTAATTTTAGAGTACAAGAATGAAAAGATAATGGTTCATATTCAACGAATGACTAGTGAGATGTTACCGGAGAAGCTTCTCTACTAAGTACTGAAAGAAAGTCGAGATCTAGGTGAACTCAAACGAAGAGGAAGATTAATTAATGTTTCCGGACACGTGTGAACTCTATGATAATTAGTTAATGCATGTTAGTATAGTTAATGTATTTTATGACTAGAGATTTGTAGTGATTGTATTTTATGGATGTGAGATCCGGCGCCAAATTACACATCTGCAGACCTACACAACAGAAGAGATTACCTCCTTGAAGATGGTACAGATCAATGAGACTAAATCTTGAAAATGATAATGATTATTATCTCAATTAAATTCCACTTCGAGGAAAAGCAGCGATCTTTTATCCTGAAATCTTGTGAATGCGTGTGCCCAGTGTCAGATTTCTCCCCGCGTTAGAGAAGGGTGGCAATGGCGGCGGCCTCCGCTTCGCGTGAGGAAACGCCTTGGTGGGCCTGGGGCGAGGACGGCCTGCGTGCGCCGGCGGAAGTCTTGACACTTCGCAGCACTGTAATTGAGCGTAAATACTTTCACTGTCGTTGGAGAACACGTGCACGCACTAAGTGAGGCTTTTTAATCATTACTTCTTGCAAATTAATGTTGTTGTGTTTTTTTTGTAGAAAATAAGACTGCATCATATTAGTACATACTTTCGAGTTGAAAGTGATTTGCATATATTAAGGTAAAGGAAAGGATACGTTAATAGATTTCTAGTTTTAGATGTTGTAGTTGCTTTAATGTAAGTATTTTTCTGGTGAATACAGATGTAGATAAATTTCCAGAAACAATGAGAGTTAGGAAAATGATATAAAAAGTTCGATGACTAGAAATAATTAAAGAAACAAGAAAGCTACACGAAAATTCAATAGGGAACAATAAAGGCAGGAACGAATGACCATACTAACAAGCCAGAAATGAGCTAGTTTTCTGATAGCGCTGACCTAGTTCACAAATTAGCTCCAATCTCCCAGGTTCTTTCGGCACAGAACATGTTGCTTTCTTAATTGCTTCTGATGACAATAGAAACTAAGAATAAGTACTTTACAGGTGTCGTTAGAAAAGGGGGAAAGAAGGCAATACGGAAAAGTAAGTATTTATACCGAAAATAAATAAAACGCCCATCAACTGCAAAATCTATCGTAATGTTATCTGTACTTCTCATAAATTTTGGAATTTTGGTGGTCTAAAGATTATCAGCGTTTAATGTTGCAATATATACATTTCGGCCCGCAAATTGTATTTCGAATTAAATGCTTATTTTAATATTTTAAAAACAAATATAAAACAACTGGTATTTGACTCTTAGAATATCATTTTTATAGATGATTAATATAAATTGTTATTTTCTTCGAGTGGAGTACGTACTGATATTATTCAATAGCTACTATTTAAAAAACATCATGCGGTTGGTGCGAAGCCTAAAGATGAAAGGTTAAAGAGTATTTACTCAGGTTATTGTATCTTTAGTCATGTTTGATTTGAGAGCGATGATAAATTATTGTGGAATTCTGTCGATGCTTATGATATTATGTTCTCTAACAAGGTATGATGAACGAACCTTTTTAGAAATTAATTATCCGCGGCTGGATTACCGCGTGGGCCTAGGTCATAAGGGAAGACGCACAATTAAATGTCTGCTTTAAATCGCTTTGCGCCCCACCCACCTCCTGTGTACGGGGGGCTCCTTAGCATATCCCCCGTCGCAGTTGTTGACGCAGAGGCCAGCCGCCGCTTGCGAGTCGCGCCCGCCCTCCCGAGCGTGGAAGCTTCCGCCGGCGGCCGCGCCCAGCGCCCGCCTCCGTGCGTTTTTGCCGTCGCGGCCCGCACGCCCACACAGGGCGACCCAGCACATTTCATGTGATTTGTAGGCAAACATTTTAGCCGATTGATTGATTGATTAGGGATTCGGGGCCCGTCAACTGCTAAGGTCATTAATTCCCTGTGTATAGTGCATGTTTTATCGAAGAAGAAGAAGAAGAAGAAGAAGAAGAAGAAGAAGATGAGGATGGAGGGTGAGATCCGGCGCCGACCTATCCATATTGTACTTCAACCCATTTATTTGTCACCTGCCAGCGGGGCACCACCCTTGCCGGGACAAGCTCTAAACTCCCGACCGCTCTCCCGGCGTGTGGTAGTGTAGTGCATGTAAGTAAGGGGCGAGGATTGAACAAGGGAAGAGAGACAAAGATCGCGCGCGGGCCGTGGCCCGTTTGTTGTTGCTGCGCATTCGCCTGGTGTTGCTCGGAGAAACCAAGGAAAACACCTGATCAGAGCAGCCGGAAGTCAGAATCTTCCTCATGACAACGGCTAAACTCGATCCAGCTATCAAGCTCATGTCGAAAATCTTGCCACCATCGGCACTGGTACTATAGGACCTCCCGGTTAGAGGGAATGTACTGATATCAATTGAATGGGTGGAAACCAGAACGATATAAGTTACTTTTATTAATTCTGAGAAATTTGTTTTTTGTTTGTTTAAGTCAATATCACTCTAAAGTCGTGGTGTTTTGTTACATATTGAAAACCATGGCATTTCAATTGTTCATTAAACCACGAAAATACATTACCACTGAAATGTAACCTAAAAAATCACGTTTTTGTCAGAATTTATAAAATGTCACTTATATTTTTCTGGTTTTCTCCCATTCAATTGATGCCCTGAGACACCTAAACTTACTATGTGAAACATATTTTATTTTTCTTGCTCTCCTCCTCCGTTTCATTTTCTTGCCTTTTATTTTTTTTTATCGTCGAGATCACAAGTCTTTTGCGAAATTGTTGCCGCCTTATGTCTTCGCTGCTTGGATAAATCTGTCTCTCTTGAAGTGAATAATATGAGATGAACTTTTTTAGGTTATCCAGGTTTACTCGTTATTCCAACATTTTTTCTCAGTTCAAGAATGACGGTTGAAGTATTATTTCCTTGAAAGTTCACTCACAATGCACACGTTACCAATGATTTTATCCTTGTGATTTCTTTATAGTTCTTTTGTTACTCAATGCCATTATCCAACGTCTTTCTAGGTTGGTTATTGATTTGATATCATGAGCTGCAAAAAATAAAATGGAAAATAGACCATAACGAACTACGGTAGACAAGATAACAACTCCATCTTATTAAAAAAAATAATTCTCTCGATTAAACGTTTTTTCTCTTTTGAAAATATACACAATCTTAAAAACTATACAATTTTTTTATTTTTTATTTCTGATTTTTGAATTTCCATTAAATTTTAAACGTGTGTTTCTTAAGTATCACGTTTTTGTATCGCGTTCCTTTCTGCTTCTTCGGTTGTGTATGTGTGTGTAGCGTGGCCGACGATGCCGTCGCCGCGACGTCGGTCCAGACGAGGCTTGGGTCGGGCGCCAGTCTCCGCCGCCGCGTCATCCCCGTCGAAAAGGCTGTTACTCTTTACGAAGCAATAACGCTGCACGCATGTCCCGCCTGGACCAACGCATCAATTTTCAACAGAAATAAACTTCAAATTGTAAAAAAAAGATTCCTCAATTTAGCAACACACGCTCTGAACACACGCAATTTTAAACGCCCAAATTCATAACCCTTTCGCTCCCAGCGGGATACATATATCCTGCCAACTTTCACCAGGCAACTATTGGGAAATTGTGCTATAAATTTCAGTTTCTTGTGTGTCCTAGAGGGTTACTGAAGCCTCCGTAATTAGTTCTTCGTTTTTACACCAGATTGCACTTGTATATTGGCGGTTTTTGTTCATATTTTTCTGCATTAACGGTGGAGTCCTTGACTGAAACGGCTTTTTCCGACGGTTGATATTGCTGTTACAGGGATTCGAGTTTAGAATTGAGTGTTTGAGTTGCTGAGTACATGTATTTGTATTATCAGTGCTTCTAAACGTAATTTGAAGGTAAGAATTTCTATTTTACGTCAGATGGGACACATGTGTCCCACTGGGATTGTTGCGTGGGTTACAGGTGTTCCAACAGAAAGTTCTGAAAGTTTCCTTTTCAGAAAATTACAGATAACGTATTTTTCGCGTTTTTTGCTTTTCAGAACAATGAGTGGTAAAAGAGGTCAAGAACATCTTACAGACGAGGAGTTGGTAAGATATATTTGTCAAAGCAGTGACTCGGACGATTTTATTTCGGATGATACATTTGCGGATGGAGATTTTGTACCAGATAGTAATACTAGTAGTGATGAAAAAGAAGATTCAAAAGATGCAAGTAGTTCTGAGAAAGAGAGTGCTGTGGATAATAATGCACATACAGTTGGGGAAGGAAACAATATTCCAGGCATTCTTTGGACTAACGCAGTAAATGAATTTTCTTCAAGACTGAGTGTAGCTGCAAATCGTCCTACAATAATTTTTTGCAAAGTCCTGAACCGGTCAGCAAATGAACTTGATGTGTTTTTGAAACTGTTTCCTAGAAGTCTAATGAAATACATAGCCCAGTGTACAAATTAACGTTTGGAAATTTTACAAAGAAAATATCCATTGAAGAAGTGCAAAATTCTTGAAACTGACAGTGGATAAATTATGATGCTTCTCGGAAAATTACTAGTGATGTCCTATAACAAGGTTCCTAAATTTGCATATATTGGTCCACCAATATTTCACTGGGTAATGCAATAAAAAGGCAACAAACGTTTCAAAACAGATGCCAACTTCTTTGGTCAAAGTTTTAATTGAATCGTCCAGAAAAACAAAATACTGCTTACAAAACATACTATATTGACGAAGTGTTGTCATGTCTGGAAGTAACATTTCCCAAAGCAAGAGTAGAAAGCCCGCATCAGAGAATCGACGAGTAAATGACTAAATTCAAAGGTCGTTCCAGTCTCAGGCAGTATTTGCCTCTAAAGCCAGTCAAAAGAGGTATAAAAATGTGAGAGCGATGTGACTCTAAGACAGGATATGTATACAACATGAATGTGTATGCGGGTAGAGATGACTGCAGAAATGAAGGACTTACTCTGGTAGAACGAGATGTTTTGAGGCTAACAGTAAATATTCGAGATCCGACTGTGAGTCTAGCTTTTGACAGATTCTTGACGAGTGTGAGACTCCTGAACGCACTGAAATTTCTTGCTGTTGGAATATGTATATTGAATAGAAAAAACATGCCAAAATTCTCCAACAATTTGGAAAAGGGGGATTTTGAATTTCAAACAATTAATTTTGGAACTCTTGCTGCTAGATGGAGGGATTCGAAAGATGTAGTTGTTCTGAGTAACTGTCATGTCACAACTACCAAACTAGTAGAAAGGAAGCAAAAAGATGGAACCAAAGAATCAATAGAAAGTCCTGAAGCAATTTCATTTTATAATGAAATTATGGTTGGAGTTGATCTGTCTGATCAGAATGTTTCCACCTATGACTTTGACCGCAAATCCAATAAGTGGTGGAAAAATGATTTTTATAAATTACTGATGATTACAGTTGTGAACGCATGAATTATTTTCCAAGGCATGAAAAAGAGGAAATCACTCCTTCTGGACTTCTTGGTTCCTCTGTCAGAAAGGCTCCTAGCTTCAGGAAAGTCAATGGCACACGTTCAAAGAAAACCAACAAGTGGACGTAGATCGGTGGCACAAAAACTAATGTTAAATGTTGGAGGGGAAAACCACACCACATATGCCTGTGGAGGGGAAAACAAGGAGACAGTGCGCTAAATGTGCATCACAAAAAATCTAGAAAAGTACAAAGACATTATACATAATGTGTGATGTTCCTTTGTGTACAAGTTGCTTTACTTCATATCATTCATGAAACAAAATAACATTTTTTAGTTTTCCCAATCTGAATTTTGTATACCAATGGGACGCATGCGTCCCACATTCCAGTCCCATTGGGGCATGTCCCAGGTCCTATTTCAAAATTCCTGAAATGAAAAATTAAATTTAAGATAATAAATTGTTAAAAAGAACTCTCTAGGCTAGAGTATTAACATCCGCGATGATCCAGTACTTTTCAGTTGGCCAGAAAAAAATTAGGAGCGAAAGCGAAGAAGAGCTAGATACATCACCGATCATCAAATACATCTCCTTCTTTTCCAATAGTTTCTTCTGCAACCTAAATACAATACACCATGGGTATTGTAGTTAACGGTAAGATAAGATTAGCATATTAAGTTATAATGTAATCCATCTCAATCATGAAAGAGGGCTATGATACTGAACAGTGTAATTATTCAACATTCAATAAATCAGTTAATAAAAAACGCGACACATTTAAGCATATGTAATGTTTGCTTGGATGCGCAGTACGCATAAATGCTGCCCGGGCACTCCTCTGCGGAATCACACAAGCCTCTCTCGCTACTTGCACTGCCAGGACGCGGTCAATTGGACGCAATATTGAGTATTTCTGGCACTGCGTTTTCGCCACGAGAATAACGCTCACATGTAGGTTACTTGGATTTTATATTGTACTTTCCGTAAGTGGAGTACCGTGCACTGAAAACAAATACTGACGTTCGGCGAATATAAGGGTTTCGTTTCCGTTTGGTATTATAGACATTTCCTCACAAGTACTCGGGGTTCTGCAAGTGAAGCCATCCGCCCCTAAGGGGAGGCGGATTTTGCAGCGGGTGACCAGTGGACCAGGCTCGCATTGAGATGGCGTTGCAAAGGCAGAATTGATGTTGTTTCTAGGCCCCTATCGCATGGATTAGAGATTTCATCTGATATTTATCGTAGTGAATAGTAGAAATTACTTCATCGACAAGATCGATTTTTGGCTCTGTGAAAGATAGGGCAACATGGAAACAAACATATCGTTTTCATAAATTTATAATTTCATGAAATTCTGATGAATTTAATCTGATATTGTGAAATTTGTTCACAATATTCCGTTTCTTAGTCGTGAATCCACATACTGAAATGTACGCAAATAAATCAGCGAATTAGCCATTTATTTACTATTGTTCAAATCATACATTTTTTGTCAACTACTAGGTCATTAGCGGCCACTATTGCGTGTAACGGTAAGGTAACTATGAGGATGACACGATATGATGATAGGGGTGTGAAAGGACGGAAACAATACAACCATGCCCGAGGCGGGACTCGAACCCGCAATCCTTCGGCACGACATCGCTATGGCACTACTACCTTAGCGATCTCGTGCATCCAGACCGGCAATCATACTTTGTTTAAATGTATTCATACATAAGTCACATATGTTTCTAGAAATTAATCCTTGAAAACAAAACGTAAGGTTGTATTTGAAATGGGATTCTTTAGAAAAGCCAACTAATCACGTAACTGCATATGTATCGTAATGTATGCTAATTTTTATATCGCTTTTTATATCGTGTTTTATCTTGTGTCTTTTCCAAGAAGTACTCAGATTAAATATTCAGGAATTATACATTTCACATAACAAAATAAGTACCAAAACCCAAGTTCCTTTTTTTTTGAACTGGAGGCAAATGCATGCAAAGTCGTCCCAAATTAATTCTTCGGGTAGGGACCACTCG